CGTCCGTCTGCCTGTCCGTCTGTCTGTTGAAATCACGTTACAGCCCACATTATTTGACGTAGAGCACCAAAATTTAGCATTGCAATTTGTATTGTGTCTAGGATGGTTGGTATTGAAAATGAGATATATCGGTCCACGTTCTGGTATAGTCCCCATATAACGGTACCTCCAGATATTCGGTATTTTGATGATTTATGCCACATTTTTTCACGGATTTGTCTGAAAATTGGTATTTGTAGGTCATAACGGATCCCTGTACGTGTGGCAAAACATTGCATTTATAGGTCCACGTTTTGGTATAGCCCCCATATAAAGGTACCTCCCGATATTCGGTATTTTGATTATTTTTCCCCCATTTTTTCACGGATTTGTCTGAAAATTGGTATTTGTAGGTCATAACGGGTTCCAGCTCCGGTAGCGAAGCATTGCATGTATGGGTCCACGATTTGGTATAGCCCCCATATAACGGTACCTCCCGATATTCGGTATTTTGATGGTTTTTGCCACATTTTTTCACCGATTTGTTTGAAAATTGGTATTTGTGGATCATAATGGGTCCTAGTTCGTGTGGCGAAACATTGTATGTATAGGTCCACGTTTTGGTATAGCCCCGATATAACGGTACCTCCCGATATTCGGTAATTTGATGATTTTTGCCACCTGTTTTTCACGTATTTGTCTAAAAATTGGTATTTGTAGGTCATAATGGGTTCTAGCTCCGTTGGCGAAACATTGCATGTGTAGGTCCACGATTTGCTATAGCCCCCATATAACGATACCTCCCGATATTCGGCATTTTAATGGATTTTGCCACATTTCTTCTAATGTTTCCTTTACCCTAAGGTGGAGGGTATTAAATGTTTGGCCCGGCCGAACTTATTGTTTTTTTACTTGTTTTAATTTCTATTTGAAAAATTTCTTAAACACACCATTTAACTTCAAACCGAATGCCCCCTATATTTCCACAATTTTTTCCACAGCACTGTGCCCAAACCTAATGAAGAGTTTTTGTTGTAAAGAATATGCACTTCTTTGCTTGGCTCTCTGGGCATTCTACCAATTTCGTTTTGTTTTCCTTTACAGACGTAATATTTTTGACAATTGCCTTATTGTTGAAGGCGAATAAAGATTTTTTTCTTTGTTTTGTTTTTCTATGGATTTTTTTTTATTCCGTGTGTATTTTTGGTTGTTTATTTAACATTTGACCTTTTACCGAAATATGAAAAAAAAAATATTTTCTTCGTAAGAAACGAAACTTTTTTGATTTTTCTAAAGGAAATTGAGTTTGCTGTTAATGGCTTGGATTCCCTTCTCTCAACTCGTAAGATTTTAAATACTATAACAACATATTGAAATTAGAATAATAGTCACAATCTAATTTTCAAATAATTATTAATAAATTTCCTCTCCGAAAAATAAAAAAAATAAGAAAAAGACAAAAATCTTAACTTTTGCAAAAAAAAAAATCAACTGATTTTCAACACCCCATAACATAGCCACCTTCACTCCAACAACAGCAAAGAGTTTTAGTTGAAACTAATCCAAGAGCAAACCAAATCTTAATACACACCAATTGGTATCTCTTTATCTGCCATTGACAGCCAATTTTTCTCTTATGTTGTGTGGCTCCCCTATTTTATTTTTCTTAGTCAATTGCTGCTCTGAGAATTCTCTTTGAATGTTGTATGTTTTCCGAGCATCGGGAGTAAATATCAAAGAAAAAATCCCCCACTATGGTGCCAGACTCTTTTTGTTTTTGTTGTTGTTCGCCATAGCTGCTGTTGCTTCTTGTTTATTTACGTTTAACAAGTGTGTGTCGGTGTCGATGTCGGTGTCTGACAACCCCCCTAAAAAAAACCCCAAAAATGTGTCGGGTGGTTCGCATATTTCAGCATCAGTTTTTAGTAGGCCTTACAATTGAGGCGCACAATTGCACAGTGCCTCACATTATAAAAATAATCAATTACAAAAATATTCGAAGAGTTTCCAATGTCTTCATGAATTTTGATAACAATCCAGAAAAAGGAATGGAATTAAAGGAAGACGCGAAAAAAATTAAAAATAATACGAACCAGTAAGGAAATACCCTGTAGTACAGGGTGAAATGAAAAAAATGCAACCAAATTCAGCTGTTAAAATTATTCCAGTGACAGCTCATTTTATTGTTTACAAGCGCACAAAAGCATTTTGGTGGGGATTTTCCAGAAAAAAAATTATTCGTGATGGAATTCAGGCGTGATAGTGTGATTTCTTTATATTTGGCTGGAAAACCACAAGTGGCTATCGCTGGAGCACTCCAGCATTTAAATGTGAGAAAACATCAGCATAAATGGTTCGAAAAGTAAAGAAGCAACTTGAGCGGAACCCGCGTCGCAGTGGCCGAAAAATAGCTCGTGAGCTGAACATATCGCAATATTCCATTCGGCAAATATTGAAAAATTAGCTCGGGGGAAATCCATTGAAATTCCAAAAAGTGCAAGAACTTACACCGCAACAGAAAGAAAATAGACTTAAAAGAGCTAAAGCAGTTTGTAAACAAACAAAATGTTTGCTTGCCAAAGAGGTCAGCTGAAAATGTGCACCTTCGGTTGGCCACCAGGACTCAAGCGCCTGCCATGGTGATGGTGTGGGCCGCCATAACAGCGGATGGTCACTCTCCGGTCGTACTAGTCGACAGTGGCATCAGAATAAATGCCAAATATTATCGCGAAAATATTCTGGAGGATGTATTAAAGACTTGGGCACGCAAACATATTGGTAGTAGACCTTGAACATTTCAACAGGACTCAGCACCATCGCACTCAGCACGCTCCATCCAAAAATGGTTACAAAAAGAGGTTCCTCTCTCCATTTCCAGCACACAATGGCCTCCAAAATCCCCGGGTACCAATCCGTTGAACTATTGTGTCTGGAGTATTTTGGAGAGCAAGGTTGGCGCTAAAAAATACCAAAGTGTCGATCACCTCAAGCAAGCGCTACGCCGGGAATGGGCCAAAATACCGCAGAGCAACATTCGGGCAGCGTGTGACGGTTTCATTGGCCGTCTGAAGGCCATAATTCTTGCCAAAGGTGACTAATTCGAACAAATCTAAACTTTTTCTAAAATTTTATGATATTTCCGACATTTTTTGCTTTCATTCAATAAAATTAAAAAAAAATGTGAAAATTATGGCGTTTGACTTTGTTGCATTTTTTTATCTTACCCTGTATATCACATTTTATAAGAGTTATAATTATTCAAAATGTTGACCCTTAGTGGAGGAGGTACTTGATGGAGTGTACCGATATTGTCCGTTTTCGCGCCTGATCTAGAACTGATGCAAAAATTAGGATTCGCAAAGTTAGAGCAACATCGGATAATCCTTTCAATAAAATATTTTCCTTGAAAATTTTGATATTTGTTGTAGGAGGTACCAGAAGGAGTGGATCGATATTGTCCATCTTCGAACTCGATCTATGTTTGACAATAATACTACGATGTACCAAGTTTGGATCAAATCGGATACTTCCTTCGAGAGTTATCGTGCGCACCAGCCAGCCAGACGGACGGACGGATATCGCTAGATCGAGTCTAAATGCCCTGAAACGGATTTGGTCCAAACAGACCTAGGATCTAAAACCTGAATTTCGATGAGGCACTTTTTGGCCGTATCAAATGATATATATCCTCTCGCCATATGACTGAGGGTATAAATATCGGAATTTAATATTTGAAATCGTTGTAGAAGTGTTCAAAATGCCAAAGGGTGGTTGGTACCACACGGACGCTATACCACAATATGATATATAAGTAAACGTAGACCTATATAGACAATGTCCTACTACCGGAAACAGAATCCGTTATATGCTCTAAAACCCAAATTTGGAAAAATAATATTGTGGAGAAATGTTGCTTTAATAATCATAAATATATCTGGAAGTACTGTTAAGATGAAGGGTATAAAAACATTATTCCCAATATTTCGGTAAAAAAACGATCGGCCGAATATGGTGTTTATTTCCATGATTTTTGAAAATGTGGACCCTTTTAAGGGAATTGCATGCAGGAGTTGAACGGTAAATGATCCAAGAAGTTCATGGAAGAGATATTTCAGCTGAAACCGACATGAGTTTATCAGGCTGTGCTTTATTTGAATTCTGTCATTCAACCGTTTACCGAGGAAAGAAGTGATTTCCAAAACCACGAGAAAAGTATTTCTCCCAGTTATTTAAGGGAGGATAACCATTTAGTATTTCTTTAAGATATGCCGACTTTTCCCTTGATCTTTATACATAATCACATCATGAATGTGATTGAAAATATTAAAGCTCGAATAAATCAAAACGCCAACGTATTCATGTAACTTTCAAAAACCAAAATTTCCGCTCCTCAGATCCCATTTACCAATAACGGAAAAATAATTACTCCAATATTGTTTCCTCAGGGCATTTCCACTTTTCCCTCCAGCATTTATCGCAACAAAACCTCAACAAACCCTTTTCAAATTGCGGGGATGAGAATATCACAACATTCCCCCCTGTTTCACAACCACTGTGTATGCATTCTTATTGTGTTTGTGTGTGATTGGCTGTGCCCGTGTCTCTCTGTGTGTGTATGGGTGTATTTCATTCTTCGGAAATTGTTTCTTCTTTTGTTTTGATTATTGTGTGTTTGGTGTGGTCGGTCAGTTGGTTGGCTGGCTGGCTGGTGCATTTCACTGCTGCTTTGTGTTAGACTCTGGTCAAAGAGCGACGAGTAGTGTGTGCTGTGTGGAGTGGAGAGCATATTGGATGAGTGGATACATACAATGAGAGAGTGGTTATTTGTTTTTTTGTGTTGGGGCATTGGGGCTGTTTTTCTGTTGCTCTCACACTCTCTTTGATTTTTCAATCCCTCTCGCAACACATGGTGGCTAACATTTTGCATTTCGGTTTTAATGCTGAGGTTAATGTTATTGTTACGATTGCGGTCGTCGTCGTCGCCACCGACACCGACACCGCTGTCGTCGTCTGTCTGACTTGCATGCAATTTTGTGTTGTTTGTGTCTGTGTGTGGAGTCTCTCTTTGTTTTTGTGCTTAGTCTAACTCTTGCTTTCTTTGCATTATCACTTGTCGGAGGCATTGGGGTTCTTTAGTCTTCAGTTAGCCAGCCAACATGTAATGGTCGCGTATGAGTGTTATTTGGTTTGATGCACGACAACGACGACGACGACTTGCTTGCTTGCCTATCAGCAGTGAGTTTGCGAGTGAGTAAGTGGATGCCTCGGATGTTTATTCGTTGTTGTTGATTTTGTTTTTGTGGATCATCGGTGTCGGTCGGTCGGTCGGTCGGTTGGTTGGTCGGTGGTCGTTTGTTCCTCTGTGCATAGGCTAACTAATAACAATGAGTAAGGCCAGACATTATTGTGTGCGTATGTTTGTCTGTGCGTCTGTTTGTTTGGGGGAACTCTCCTGAATGTGTTCGTGTGCTTGTCTTCCAATGGATGGATGATTGTTTGGATGCATGAATCTGATGGCAATTTTGTGTTTTGTTCTGTTTTGCTGCTGGTGTTATTACTTTTGCCTGCTGATGTTAATGCTGCCGCCTTTATTGTTGCTGCTGCTGCTGTTGGCGCTGTTGTTTGGATAGTTTCATTGCTGGTGGCTGGCTGTTTGGCTTAGCCTAACTTTACTCTTCTGTATACTCTGCCTGCCTGGTGTATGGCTGGTGTTCTGTGTGTCTGTATGTCATCACTGTGGCTGCTGGCTGTCTTGTTGTTGCTTGGCTGCTGTTCATGGTAGTGGTGGTGGCGATGGCGATGGTGGTCGTCTGTGCTGTGCTGTTTTATTTGGCTCGATGGCTCTGACACTGCTTGTGTACTCTTTTTGAAAATAGTTACAAGATGTTCATCGGTGGGTAAAGAACGTCTGGACGGATGATGAACATTGTTCGCAAGTAAAATATCTTTAGACAGCCGGAGGAGAAGAAGAATAACAACAGAATCAAAGCGAATCTCAACTGACATCATCTCCATCGCTCGTGGTCGTCGTTGCCAATCATCCTTCTTCTTCCTCTCGCTCTCTCGTTCTCGTCACTTTGCTTAACTCTGATTGTGTGTGAAAGAATAGCTCTTTTTTCGGATTTCTTTGTTGGTGTAGTTGCTGTTGTCTTCGTTGTTGTTGTGGTACTATATACAATAATGTGTCGTCGCTGTTGAGTACGTACTTACTTACGTTTTAAGTCTTTGTGTTGCCGTTCGGTCGGTCGGTTGGTTGGTTGGTGTACTTTTCATCATCATCATCATCCGCAACTGCATTTGTGAATTCTGTTTTGTGTGAAAATAAAAATAAGAATAAGTAGCAACAACAACTTTAGCAGTTAAAGAGTATTTATCTGTAAGAGCTACCGCGAGTATCGATACGCGGCGGCATTAATAATCCCAACAGTACCGAAAAGAAAATAAAAAGTACAACACCGTACCACACGGTGGCGCATTGTTGGGATTTGTTTGACAAGACCAGAGACTTTCTTCATTGATCCACCACCGTCGTCATCGGCAACAGCATCGCGACGGTTGCGACAGTTGTAACAACTGTTTTCAGCCATTAGCATCTGCAACGGGCAAGCAACACAGCCCACAAATAACTTCTTATACAAAAGTGTTAAAAAATTTTTTGAAACTGAACAAATAAAAAATAAATAATTTTTGAAAAAAAAAATATTTTTAGACAAAAAAAAAGTTAAAAAAAAATTTATTTTGAAAATTCAAAAAAATACGAAGTGACTAAATACAAGGTAAAAATTGTTGGATACTCTAAAATTAAGAAAATGCATGTTTGTGCTCCAAAGTGAAAAATTGCAGTGAAAAACTCTTAAAAATAAAACTTAATTATTTTTTTAAATAAAAAATTTTAATTTAGTTTTCCAAAAATGAAAATTATAAACATAAAAAAAAATATTTTTTTGTGAAAAAAACTCAAAAAAAACTGGAAACAAAATTTTATTGAGAAAAAAATTGTGACGTTGTAAAATTTGGAAAATCTTAAATAAAAATTAAAAAATATTTAAAAAACTATCAAAAAGAAATGAAAAATTAAATTTTTATAAAAAAATCTAATCAAAAACTAAAAAAAAGGAAAACTACATATATTTTTTGTAAAAGATAAAATTAAAATAAAATATTTTCAGTAAAATTACCAAAAAAATATATTTCTTTGTTAAATAAAAGATAACATCAATGAGATATATTTATAAAATAAAAATTTTATAAAAATATTATAATAAAAAATGTGACAATTAATAAAATATGTGTTTATTATATAAAAAATTAAAACAAAAAAAAAATAAAGTAAAATTATAATTTTGTGAAAATAAAAAAATATTACAACTAAAATAAATCTCATTAAAATTAATAAAAATATGTATTCTTATAAAAACAAAAATGAAATGAAGAATTGTGATTTGGATTGGGAATGTAAAAGAATATCAATTGTTTTTATGAAAAATAAAAATTCCAAATAAAATATACTCTATTTTTTTAAAGAGAACTACAGACAATTTTATTAAAAAAAAATAAAATAAAAAAGTTGTTTTAAGAAATATTAAAAACTGATTCAAAATAATAATTAAATAAATATTAAAGACTGGCCCAAAATAATTATTGTGTGTGTTTTTTTTAATTAATTAATTTAATTTTAAAAATTATTATTTAAAAAATAATAATAAAAACTTACAAAAAAATACATGTTTAATTTATACATTATTTTCATGAAAAAATTACAAAAAAAAATATACGCAATTTTATTAAAAAAAAAAAACTATAGACAACTTTATTAAAAAAAAATATATATATATAAAAAAAAGAATTTTTTTAAATATTAAAACTTTGTGAACAATTAAAAATTGGTTTAGAATAATTATTTAACATTTGTGTTTTATTAATTTATATTATTTTTTTAAGAAAAAAATGTTTGCCCAAAAAAATTAAAAAATGTGTATAAAAACTTACATTTCTAGTTACAAAATAAAACAAAAATAGTGAAAAAAATATATATTTTTAGTATATCCAGATTTCATACAAAAATGTACATCTGCTCAAATGTCCTTAAAAACATGTTATAAAAATATTAACTCTTTTTCAAATTTAATGACTTCAAATCAATATTTTTCTTCAAAACTCAACTTTTAATAGACCAAATAAAATTAAACAATAATCAGTGCACCCATCTTTAAACGTTTAAGATAAGAAATTAACCAGAAAAATCTTAAAAACTGAAATAATTTTAAAATATTTTTTTTAAATTTATTTTAAACCAACAATAACCTGAAATTCCATAAAATTCAAACGCCAAATACAACAATATTCCAAGAAAGTTGTTAAAATTTAAAAGAAAAAAAAAACATCAACCACAATACGCCCAAATATAAAACCAAGAATTTCCACAAGCAAGTTGAAATGTCACAGTTAATAAAATAAAACAATAAAACCCAAACAAAAACAGTTGATAACAAAATAAGTTTTATTTTTTCCTGAACGATTTTATGCTCAGCTAAGCCAAGAAACAGCAATAACAACAACAAAACATAAAACAAAATAAATATACATACATACATTTCAAAATACAAACAGACGAGCCACATAAATGGCCCATCGCCATATCATGCTTCTGGTTTTTCGTATGCAAAAATAAGGCAAAAACAAACAAAACAAAAAAAATTGTCTGCAAAAAAAAATAAATAAAAAAACTGAAAAAGTGCTGAAACACCAACGACAACAACAACAACAAAACGTTATAAGAATAATACATATTTTTTATGGTTCTGCTGTTTGAATTACTTGAAAAAAAAACAAAACTTCTTAACTTCCTTCTTCGTTGATTCGTTTTTTTTTTTTTTTTTTTTGCTCGGTTTTCTCTCAACAGCAGTGCTAAAAATACCACCGAACAGCATAAATAACCATGCTCAACAAAGAACCGAAAACTAAGAGTATTCTTTTGCGCCAATAAGAGCATTCTTATCATCACAGCAAACAAGAGAAAAATCCACAATACCACAAGAGTGTGTCTGAGTGTGTCTGAGTGTGTGTGTGTGCGTTTTAAAAGTGAATTTTCCTTATCTAATTTTAATTTTATATTTTTCTCCTTTCTTCTTCAACAGAGAGTAACAGAAACATAAAAGAATTAATGATAATATTGAAAGAAAACATGCAATGACAAAGTGACATAAAACATGAAACAAGCATTTAACAAGAGAAAGTGATATTTTTTCTATACATTAAAAAAAAAACAAAAAAACAGAAAACTATGCTACAAGCAAACAAACTCGTAAATATTTACTTTATACATTCGTAAATCCTGCAAAGAAAAATATATATGTGTGTGAAATCACACACATACATACCAATACCAATAAACATCATACCTGGCATCCGCAGAAATTTATTTTGGAATACGACTTTTTTTAAATAAACAGCAAAGCCAAGAATCTGACTTCCTTCCTATTCGATTATATTTTTTTATCAACATCAACAAAGGTAAGTGTTTTTAACGTAAGAAAAAAAATATCTTTTTTCTTTTAGTAGATATTTACCTCTCTTCATACGAATTTGGAAAATTTAAAAAATTCTTTCAAATTAAAATTACCATAGATTGTGAAATATTGATATTAGCCTGAATAGTTGCAATGTGGTAATTAAATTAATTAATTTACATAAACTTGACTATTGTATACTAGTTTGGTATAAATAATTAAAAAACAATAAAAAATTGAATTTTACAATTTTAAAAAACATAAACTTTTAATAGCCTCCACCTTAGGGTGAAGGAAACATTAGAACCCATTATGACCCACAAATACCAATTGCTAGACATATTCGTCTGAAAATCGGGAGATACCGATGTATGGGGCTATACAAAAACGTGGACCTATACATAAAATGTTTCGCAGCCGGAGCTAGAACCCATTAGGACCCACAAATACAACTTTTTAAAATAATCCACGTAGAGATGGGTCAAAAATCATCAAAATAACGAATATCGAAAGGGTACCGTTATATGGGAGCTATACCAAAACGGGGACTGATATATCTCATTTTCAATCCCAACCATCCTAGACACAATACAAATTGTTCTGCTAAATTTTGACGCTCTACGCCAAATAATGTGGGCTGCATAGTGATTTCAACAGACGGACATCTTTAAATCGATTTAGAATTTTACGCTGATTATGAATATATATAATTTATGGGGTCTACGAAGAATATTTAGGGATGTTACAAACGGAATGACAAACATAATATACCCTACTTTCCAAGGTGAAGATTACAAAAATTTTAAATTCAGGCTAAAATTCTTATTTTTGGTGCTAGAGAAAAGCCTGGAAAATGCTTTTCCAAATGCTATCAAAACTTATCCTCCCCAAAATTTTTCTACAAAGAGTTTCTTATGAAGTATTTATCTAAAGTTTTACAAGTCTCTTGCTAACAAATATTTTTTATCAGAATTTTAGAGAAAAATGATTTTCCGACGGTCTACCTTCAGAAAAATTAAAAGACCAAAAAGACCTTAAAACGAGAAAATGGCCAGATTTAGACTAAGTAATATTCAACTTGTACATGATAACTTCAACCTTCTTCATAACTTTACTCCAACAAAATCCCGACGTATTCATACCCTCCACCCTGGAAAGGAGAATACATTAACTTTGTCATTCCGTTTGTAACATCCCTAAATATTCGTCGTAGACCCCATAAAGTATATATATTCTTGATTTGCATAAAATTCTAAGTCGATTTAACGATGTCCGCATGTCTGCCTGTCCGTCTATCTGTCTGCTGAAATCATGGTACAATTTGTATTGTGTCTAGAGTGGTTGGTATTGAAAATGAGATATATCGGTCCACGTTTTGCTATAGCCCCCATATAAAGGTACATCCCGATTATCGGTATTTTGACCATTTTTGCCACAAAAAATTTTCACGGAGTTGTCTAAAAATTAGTCTTTGTAGGTCATAATGGATTTTAGCTCGTGTGGCAAAACATTGCATGTAAAGGTCCACCTATTGGTATGGGCCCCGTAGAACTATACCTCCCGATATTCGATAATTTCATGATTTTTGCCAATTTTTTCAAGGATTTGTCTAAAAATTGGTATTTGTAGGTCATAATAGGTTCTAGTTTCGGCGGCGAAAAATTGTATATATAGGTCCACGATTTTGTATATAACGGTACCTCCCGATTTTCGGTATTTTGACGATTTTTGCCACATTTTTACCGAATTGTCTAATTATTAGACTTTGTAGGTCATAATGGATTTTAGCTCGTGTGGCGAAATATTGTATGCATAGGTCCGCGTTTTGGTATAGCCCCCATATAACAGTACCTCCCGATATTCGGTATTTTCATGATTTTCGCCACATTTTTTCACGGATTTGTCTAAAAATTGGTATTTGCAGGTCATAACAGGTTCTAGCTTCGGTGGCGAAACATTGTATATATAGATCCATGTTATAGATATAGATCCGGTACCTGCAGATATGCGATATTTTAATCATTTTTGCCTCATATTTTAACGGATTTGCTCAGAAATTGGTATTTTTAGTTCGTAATGGGTTCAAGGCCGTGTGGCGAAACATTGTATGTATAGGACCACGGTTTGGTATAGCCCCCATATAACGGTACTTCCCGATATTTTGACGATTGTCGCCACATTTTTCTACGGATTTGGTATTATAAAAATTATAAAAAAAATTGGTATTTGTAGTTGGTATGGGTTCTAGTCCTGTCGCAGAACATAGAATATCTAGTTCTACGTTTTCCTATAGCACACATACATATAACGATACTAACCGATATTCTCTGTTTTCAAAATCCTAGTCACATTTACTCACATAATTGTTTCAAAATTGGTATTTTAGAAGATTTGATAGATGACAATCCTTGAAGTATAAAATTGTCCATAGAGGATCCTGTTTTGGTATGGTCTCATCCAATTTATGTTTTTTTTTTTTTCATAAGTTTAACCTCATTATCCAAACGGTCTTACTGGTATATAAAGTTTAAGGTGAAACACGCTTGAATTCAGATACTTATATATAACAAGTAAGCAAAGGCTACAGTCGAGCGGGGCCGACCGTTGAATACCCTACAACACTATAATAAAAGATACAGCTTATATGGGCGAGATACTCGAAAGAATTCCACAAGATATTGTGACAAATAATAAAAGAAAACCATCAGGTTTCGTTCTCTAATTTTCGAATAATAGCAACTTAAACTAATTTGCTCATTTCCAATTTATTGGTAATTAAATTGTCTTCCTTGATCTGGAATCAATATTTCCCAAAGACCTATAATCTCTCAGAAGTGGCAAAAGATTAACATTTATTATTGGTTTTTGACTGAAACGCATCTATATGAGATATAGACATTTCACTATATTCTTCAACGAAATCAGCGTTAACGAAATAGTCAGAAGTGCTTCTTTCCTGTATTTGTGAATTCTGCAAAAAGTCACTGGAATGGACATTTTCGTATTTTGTCTACAAAAGTTGGCAAACTATTTCACACATTGAATATTTTGAGATGGCCATCCAAAACTGCTTGGCTTTTGCAATGTCCGGTAACCTCCATTCAAATGCGCGTGAGGATCGGGCGATAATTACGACCTTCTGACAATTTTGCAGTTTTTTGGTCCATTTCAACCCCTAAATATATGGCGATCATCTCCAAAAAGAGTAGGCTTCTATTCTGACCCTCATCTTATCCCCATGCAAAATTTCCTATGGATCGGGCCATAAATGCGATCTGTATATGATATCCTGATATCCTAACTACTTAGTTTTGTTAGCTGTAGAAAAATTACCAAATGTTTAATTCAAAATGAAAATATGCCAGAAATGTAACAAAATTGAAAAAAAAAATAAGAGAAAATGTTACAAAATCAATATTTTCATCTTTAGAGAGATATTTTTATGCGATTTTTTAGACGTTTTTTTCTTTTCTGCCAAGAGGCCATTCTAAATTAATGAGAACTGTCGAAATCAGTTCAGCCGTTCTCGACATATAAGAGATCTTTCAAGCATATCTTCTTTGATAGACATATATATCGCACATATTTTGCTATATATCCGTTTTGTTGGATGTTAACATCAATGTAAAGATCAGGAGTAACCTTGTCTTAGCTTTGTGATTTCGCCGCGATTTAAAATATTCGCGGTTTAATGAAAAATTTTGAATTTTTTCAACACAAAAGATATGGTCTATTTTACCCGCTAAATATAGCGACCTGTATAGCTACTGCAAAATCCGACATTTTTTCAGTATTTGGTCCATTTCAACCCCTAAACATTTGGCGATCATCTCCAAAAGAAATAGGGTTCTATTCTGACATTAACCCCACCTACATTTTAAATTTCGTAAAAATCGGGCCATAATTGCGACCTGTAGAGTGATTACAAATTAACATGGACAGACGGACAGACAGACGGACGGACATACATAGCTAGATCGACTTAGCTCGGCGAGCTAGGAAGATCCATATATACTTTCCTATATGGGAAACCAATATTTCGAGGTGTTACATAATTTTTGGCCCAATCAAACTTATAATACCCCCAACACATAGTGTTGTAGGGTATAAAAATTAGGATTCGAGCTGATTTTCAGTAATAGGAAAATGCTAGGAATAGAGTAGTTTCAAAATTCTATCAATACCAATAATTTTCCAAAAAATTTTGAAAAAAGAATTTTCTAGATTTAACTTAAGCATTTTTCTATCCTGATCAGTTTGACATATTTTTGCGTCCAGTTAATTATAACTGAATATTTTACCGTGATAGAGGGTGGACACACACACACACATCTTGATATTATATGAACCTAAGAAATGTAAAACTTCAGAAAGGTAGGACTAATTGCCACGTAAATTTGTTATATTTGCTAATGAAGTATTTATCTAAAGTTCTACAAGTCTCTTGCTAACAAATATTTTTTATTAGAATTTTAGAGAAAAACGATTTTCCGACGGTCTACCATCAGAAAAATTAAAAGACCAAAAAGACCTTAAAACGGGAAAATTGTCAGCTTTAGACTAAGTAATATTGAACTTGTACATGATAACTTCAACCTTCTTCATAACTTTTCTCCAACTTACTTCTACAAAATCCCGACGTATTTATACCCTCTACCGTGGAAAGGAGAATATATTAACTTTGTCATTCCGTTTGTAACATCCCTAATATTTGTCCGTCTGTCTGTCTATTGAAATCACGGTACGGCCGACATTATTTGACGTAGAGCGTCAAAATTTAGCAGAACAGTTTGTATTGTGTCTAGGGTGGTTGGTATTGAAAATGAGATATATCGGTCCACGTTTTGCTATAGCCCCCATATAAAGGTACACCCCGATATTCGGTATTTTGACGATTCTTGCCATATTTTTTTCACAGAGTTGTCTAAAAATTAGCCTTTGTAGTTCATAATGGATTTTAGCTCGTGTGGCGAAACATTGTATGTAAAGGACCTCCTTTTGGTA